ATTGGAGTTCCGTTGGCAACCTGCGGCCTGCTTTTGGACAGATGGGCTCATGGTCGGCTCAGCGAGCGCTGGGAAAAAACCCCGACTTGCAGAGTTGCAAGGTCCTTCTGGCCGGTTGTGGACCGCGGGCGGTCAAGGGAACTGCTGCAGCTGGCTAAGCGTCAGCTCTCGATTTTCACAGGTGTACTGACCGGACACTGTCCAATGGGAACCCACGCGGTGCGACTCAATATCGTCACGGATCCCTACTGCCGCAGTTGCCTGGAAGACGAGGTGGAATCATCTCAGCACTTCCTACTCAACTGCCCGGCATTCGCTAGATTACGGTTTAAGCATCTCGGTGCGCATTTCATCGACACTCCCGAGGGACTCTCCGGAGTGGACATCAGCTGTCTGAAGAACTTCATTATGAGCACCCAGCGCTTCTCGTAATTTTTACGCAGTTACCGTTCCTATGTAATGTGGTATCACAATGGACAATCAAATGTCTAAGTGAGTCCCCTTTGCGGGTCTGCCACCTTAACCTAACCTAACCTAACAACGAAGAATCCGTTAATTGCATATATTTAAATTTGGCATTAATGGATTGGTATTAACTTCCAGAATTTAAAATTATTTAGTTTGTTTGGGGTAGAATGTTTCCAATTTGAATTGTGAATGAAAAACTAGAAATAAAATTAGAAATGCAGGTGAGTACTCATAGATAGTACTACTTGTATACAGAGAGTAGATTTGCTACTACCTTTTGGCAGCAGCAAACAGTACTGCCGTTTCCAAATTTTCGAGAGAAGTAAAAAACACCCCAAAAGTGAAGGGTTTCTGAGTGACTTGGGAGGAAAATTGAAGTGATTATCGAATTGACGACTTTCAAGCACAATCTGGGGTATGGGGTTACCGATTTGGCTTACTTATTTGCTGATTGGTTGTCGATTATTTTCTGATCGGAATTAAAATAGTCTTTAACCTCTACCTTCAAAAGTTGTGGATAAACATTCAAAAGTCGCAGTTCACTGATTATGTAAAAACTCAAAAACTCAAAAATGATATTATGAGATTCACTCAAACTTTTCCCATATCTCGGTGCAGGCTTTTCCTGTAAAATTAAGGATGTGTGAAAACTAAATTATTATTGTCACACAAAAGGAGAGGAACCTAAAGTTTTACGCCGACTCCGATTGTATTTTTATGAGAAGCTGTTTTTCATTGCAGATATACACTCGGAAGTTTGCCATTGTCTGTCGAGGGGCGCCCGCTATTAGAAAAACTACTTTTTTGGTTTTTCTTTTTTGATGTTGGGTTGAACCTTGAAACCAGGCACTGTAATAGCGCGCACTGCTAACCACTACACAACAGCGGCCGCCATTAATTTAGATTAAATATATAATTTATTGTAAAGATGTTACTTTGGAGATAAAATTAATTTGTAGAAAGTGAAGTAAAGGCTTTCAATGTGAAGTGAAAAACTTCAATTGGCGTGACGGCGGCAATACTGGCAGAAAATATCTAGTAAGTAGTGTATTTACACCACGATTGAGAGAAATAGAGATTGCGCCCATCGCGGTAGCGCTAATCCGCTCTTTGTGAATTTGACAGAATCAGCTGTTTGCGTGATGTCATCTTGATGCAATTGTTGACTGAGTTCAGCCATTTCCTCCAGAAATACATTGTAACTATCTCTAGATGAAACTGGTACAACATCGGTGTCAATGATGTTCCATGAAATGTGTGGCAGATTTAAATCGCCCAAAACAATCATAGAATCGGATGCCGTAAGCATTGTATTTACGGTCTCAAAAAAAAAAACTAGCTGCATATATACTGATACGGCAGAATTAGGAGGGATCTAGCAAAGAGCTAAATAAATATAAATCTTTCCAGCCTGTACACGTATACATTTAAATTCGGTATATTCAATGACAGGAAGACTAACTTCCTCGGATGGTATCGATGAATGCACCGCAAAAAGAACACCACCGCCGATTCTGCCCACGCGGTCACTCCTGTATATTTGATATTCATTTGGAAGAATTTCGGAATTAAAAATATGAGGTTTGAGCCATGTTTCGGTCAAGGAAATAATATTATAATTGCAGTCAAAACCTTTTAAATATAAGTCAGTTAATTTGGTATTCAAACCTCTAACGTTTTGATAGTAAATACTTAAATTATACTTGCGAGTTAGTTCTTTGAATCCGAATTAAGATTAGAAATTTTAGGTACGTTGTTATTGCTTTTATTAGGTTTATACTCAAACTCGCGAACAAACGCCCCGGTCGGCCAAAATGAACTATTTAGTAGTGAATCAAAATCTTCGGAAGCTACATCAATTTTAAAAGATGAAATATCGCGATCGTATTTAAAATTAAATTTACGAATAAATACATCTTTAGTTCTAATTTTAGCCGATATGTATGACTTTATATCATCCGAAGAAGTATCTTTAGCAAATCTAGAGACAAAGATTGATCTTCACGGAGGAATTACAACCAACTTTTTGGTAATGATGTCTGATGTGCGGGGCTCCGAATTATTCGGAGGAACTAAGTTAGACAGTGCAGCTTCAGATGTTGATGGCAACACTGTTAAATCAACGGTTTGACTATTTTTAGATGTAGACCTAGTGGATATGGCTTTAGATAGCGGAGGCTCCAATGACTGAGAGCATGGAGAAGATAGATTAATAAGTTCCAAGGACTGCGTTGGAGCATTTTTCTGACTAGATTCAGTGGCTGTCTTTCTAGGTTGACTAATAACACGCCTACCTTTACTTTCTCGGATATCCTCAGAGTGTGGAGGGTTGTCGAGACATGTGAAAGACATAAACATTTTTTC